GATGCTTGGTTATGAAGGGGGGAGTCGGAACAGCTGAGATAAACAATGGAACTTGTGCAAGGTTCATGGAAGATGGTTGTTGGTGGTTCCACCAATACTGGGGGAAAAATCAAATGGAGATATTGATAGATATTGAACATCCAAGCTTGGACACACTGTGGGGTAATGGTGAGTGGAACGTTTTACTGATGTCATAGGTTTCGCCTGCTTTCCTGGGTTACCTGGCAGTAGTGTTGCAACGGACACGGAATCGCGATCGAAGAAACAACGTACAGCTCATGAACAGAAACAGAAGGTCAACAGTTTAAACCATAGCAGGTACGTAGGCCAAGCGTCCCTGACCTATATCCTTACCACATGTCACCCAGCTTCGTTGGCAGAGGAAGTGACATGGGCACCTCTGCCCCCTGCTTTATGGGAATTGTACGAGTGCGATATACAGAACTAAACCGTTTGTTATAACGGTGTACACACACACACACACACAATGGCCCCGAAATGGGGCAAGACCGCAAAGCGCCAATTTTGCACCTAGAAACTCTAACCTAAGGAGCCTGCCTAAGAGAATGAATACCTGGCCTAAAAAGAACCTAATGATGATGACGAATGATGTGAGAAGCAACATGTGAAACCATGTTCTATAAGTCGTAAATCCTGACATTGCAGAAAAGTGCGTGTGCAATTGCGTTACGTTTTAGTTCAAAGTTAAGACGAGGCACAAGACTGTTTTTTTACCTAGTAAATGTAACCTAAGGAGCCTGCCTAAGAGAATGAATACGTGGCCTAAAAAGAACCTGATGACGATGATGAGTGATGTGAGAAACAAAACGTTGAACCATGTTCTATACCTAGTAAATCTGACCTAAGGAGCTTGCCTAAGAGAATGAATACATGGCCTAAAAAGAACCTGATGACGATGACGAGTGATGTGAGAAACAAAACGTTGAACCATGTTCTATACCTGGTAAAACAAACCTAAGGAGCCTGCCTAAGAGAATGAATACGTGGCCTAAAAAGAACCTGATGACGATGACGAGTGAGGTGAAAATGCTATTGAGACTCCGACCAAATCGAAGGTTCGCTGCTTGCAGTATTGCACCCGTGGTGCGGAGAACTTCGACTTATGTCTACTTTGTCCTAATTGGACGAAACTTCTGCCTTATGGCTTCTTCGCCTTATGGCTGCTTCGATTGGATTTTACAGTGTAAAATCTTGACTTCGTCGGATGACGCTTGAGATGCACTCGAAGTGCATACGGCTTCGGAGATTCATACTCCACTCTGAATACGGGAAAATGCCCGCTCATAACTTTTTGATTGGTCGAAACCAACCGACGGTGTGACCAATTGAGGTCAAACACCCGTAACACACTGTGGGGTAATGGTGAGTGGAACGTTTTAATGATGTCATAGGTTTCGCCTGCTTTCCTGGGTTACCTGGCAGTACTGTAGTGTTGCAACGGACACGGAATCGCGATCGAAGAAACAACGTACAGCTCATGAACAGAAACAGAAGGTCAACAGTTTAAACCATAGCAGGTACGTAGGTCAAGCGTCCCTGACCTATATCCTTACCACATGTCACCCAGCTTCGTTGGCAGAGGAAGTGACATGGGCACCTCTGCCCCCTGCTTTATGAGAATTGTACGAGTGCGATATACAGAACTAAACGGTTTGTTATAACGGTGTACACACACAATGGCCCCGAAATGGGGCAAGACCGCAAAGCGCCAATTTTGCACCTAGAAACTCTAACCTAAGGAGCCTGCCTAAGAGAATGAATACCTGGCCTAAAAAGAACCTAATGATGATGACGAATGATGTGAGAAGCAACATGTGAAACCATGTTCTATAAGTCGTAAATCCTGACATTGCAGAAAAGTGCGTGTGCAATTGCGTTACGTTTTAGTTCAAAGTTAAGACGAGGCACAAGACTGTTTTTTACCTAGTAAATGTAACCTAAGGAGCCTGCCTAAGAGAATGAATACGTGGCCTAAAAAGAACCTGATGACGATGATGAGTGATGTGAGAAACAAAACGTTGAACCATGTTCTATACCTAGTAAATCTGACCTAAGGAGCCTGCCTAAGAGAATGAATACATGGCCTAAAAAGAACCTGATGACGATGACGAGTGATGTGAGAAACAAAACGTTGAACCATGTTCTATACCTGGTAAAACAAACCTAAGGAGCCTGCCTAAGAGAATGAATACGTGGCCTAAAAAGAACCTGATGACGATGACGAGTGAGGTGAAAATGCTATTGAGACTCCGACCAAATCGAAGGTTCGCTGCTTGCACTTGTATTGCACCTGTGGTGCGGAGAACTTCGACTTATGTCTACTTTGTCCTAATTGGACGAAACTTCTGCCTTATGGCTTCTTCGCCTTATGGCTGCTTCGATTGGATTTTACAGTGTAAAATCTTGACTTCGTCAGATGACGCTTGAGATGCACTCGAAGTGCATACGGCTTCGGAGATTCATACTCCACTCTGAATACGAGAAAATGCCCGCTCATAACTGTTTGATTGGTCGAAACCAACCGACGGTGTGACCAACTGAGGTCAAACACCCGTAACACACTGTGGGGTAATGGTGAGTGGAACGTTTTAATGATGTCATAGGTTTCGCCTGCTTTCCTGGGTTACCTGGCAGTAGTGTTGCAACGGACACGGAATCACGGTCGAAGAAACAACGTACAGCTCATGAACAGAAACAGAAGGTCAACAGTTTAAACCATAGCAGGTACGTAGGTCAAGCGTCCCTGACCTATATCCTTACCACATGTCACCCAGCTTCGTTGGCAGAGGAAGTGACATGGGCACCTCTGCCCCCTGCTTTATGAGAATTGTACGAGTGCGATATACAGAACTAAACCGTTTGTTATAACGGTGTACACACACACACACTTAGAAACACCCCGAAGGGAGACGATGAAGTGAGATGAAATGAAAATTCATGTTTCCTCATGCTGGGTTTTTGGCTTTGCCCAGTTGCCATACTGAGATTACTGCAGGTACACACGGTTGATCAGACCGTGCATCCCACTCCAAGGCATAGCTTCATTGCATTGGGTTTGCCAAGGAGTGCCCAATGCCCCTGCTCGTTGGTATGCTAATTCAAAACGAACGATCGAAACCCATGTGCTGCACGCCTGAAGATGCACAGATGTGTCGGATTGGAACTTATATGCAACATGGACTTCTTCGCGCTAGTTACCTTGAACATGTGGTCCCAACCGAACTAATCACCAGAACATTCTCTTTGATTCAGGGTTCAGCACATACACTCACTCACAAGACACGCAAATCCACGGATTGAGGAAGAAACATGCTGGTGGCGCGTGATAGGACAATCATCAAACTTACCAGGTCACCAAGGCAATGCTGGGCACTGACCTTTCGGATCTTATACCAACATACATGCAAAGACTGCTGCGAACTGGGTTGAACATGCTCAGCTGTTATGATGTTTTTCGATACACTTGCAAGTTCGTAAATCTACGGTCGAACCACTCTCCGCGATTTCGCAAGATGCCTCACGGTGCAGTGGGTTTCTTCGTGCCAGCTATCTAGAACATGTAGTCTGAACTGAACTAATCAACATAACATTCCCTTTGATTCAGGGGTCGGCACACACAACAAGCCCAGTATGGGCACATGCTTTTCCACCCCTCTTAGGCACGCCTGTTGCTCAGACTAAGTAAATTGAAATGTCACCCCTCATGCCAATTCAGGTGAGCACCTTGTTTGCTTAATTGCAATACAAAACAATAGGTTGTTTGTGTTGGAACAGCGAAGCATTAAAGACCATCAATCATAGAAATATTCATGTGGAAAACTTACCGCCGGATGCTCAACATTCTGGCTGCCATAGCGCGTAATGGCTTGTACGGATAACCAAGTGAACCATACGATTGAATTAAAAACTCAACATCATGCTGTGCTTGCTTGTATGGGTGGCTGTGTCTTGCTGCTAGGCAGATGCGGCTGTATGCGGCAGAGAGCTTGTGTTGTGTGGAAGCTGCAGAGCCAAAAGATTGAAACTGCCAAGCATTGTTTGGTTGAATGTAAGACAATGTATGTTTTTGTAAGTCAATAGTGCAGCCCAAAAAGGAATTGTCTGGTTCATCCTCAAGGATGACCGGTTCTTGGTAAAAGGTGTCTTGTAAGAATGGTTGGATGATTGCGTGGTGCTGTTGGGATTGGTCAATGAGTACAAGCCTGTTGTCAACGTATCGTGTGATCAGTATTCTGTTTGAGTGTGTGTGAAGATATTGTTGTACCTGTGGTCGGTTTAGCCAATCTTGCTCGGTCAGACTGACCGTGATGTTTGCCAGGACTGGGCTGATTTGGTTGCCAATTGCGCTGCCGCGAATTTGCTGAAATGTTTGCTGGAGCTGTGAAAAAAATGATGCCTGGAGAGACAAACTGCATATGTTGTAAATGTCTCCAAACCTGATCTGTCGTTTTGTCATTGCAGCTCGCCGAGGCCGTCCTCGAAAAAGTCGTAGTGTGGTGTCTGGCTGTTGCATGTCCACTGTGAAAACAGTGTCGTTATTTACATGTGGGTGTTGTTGTTGATATTGCTTCAACAGCTTGGGTGATGGATGCGGTCTGCTGGTATGGATGTAAAAAACCCTGCCAAATCTTGGTTGTAAATGGCAAGGTCCAGGTCTGCTGGTGCATTGTGAAAGAAGGTGTGGAGTGTATAGAAAATTTGCTGGAGTGATTGTAGTCCAAACGTCTTGGACATGCAGGCTTGAAGCATCTGCTGTAGAACGATGGCTGTGGCTTTGAGAAGCTTCTCAAAAACAAAACCACGATAGTTGATGATGGGCCTGGCGGCAAGGAATTGTTTTTTCTGCTTCAATAGTATGTAGGCTGTTGGGCAGTCGCTGTTGGTGTTGTATGCCCATTTGTATTTTTGAAGCCAGGGTTGATGTGTAAGCTGTTGTAGGTATTGTGTTGCTTGTGGTGGTGTCAAAGTGAGGTGGGTGT